ATATATATAGCTCTGTTCTGTCAAGCTTTACAGACTTTTTAGGGCTTTATATAAATTCCATTGAACCTACGTATTCTAACTTGATGGCCTCATCCTAGCTGAACATGGCACTGAACTACTTCCCAGCCAGGAGAAGTATCTTTGAATCATTTCACATGTGCTTTTCCTCTATGATTCACTTTCCGTGGCTCATAATGCAAAGTATACAGTACTGCAGTATTTATTTCTCTAAGTTCACAAACTTCCCTTGTTCACTCAACCAAGTAAGAAAAACATTAGACACATAGCATAATGGTAAATTCCTAGGCATGATCTTTTCAAGGATCAAAAATGGATATAGCTCATACTTAAGCTCCCTTCGTCTATGTAATGAACATAAGCCCCATCTGTTAAAATGCATCACTTTTGCATTTTCAATAAAAATATGGGTGAGTCATTAAATGGAAAGTTAGAAAAGCCAGGGCCTGCTATTGTCAGTGATAGTATGCATATTCCTTTCTGTGAAAATAAGATATAAAATTTATCCTTTCAAAATCAACATGTTTAAAATTCTGTGGGTTTCCCAAATTTTGAGACACGTAGTAGACTTTATATAGATATAGATATAGATATAGATATAGATATAGATATAGTTACTCTGTCTTCTCAACGTGTATCTTCTTGAATTGCATAAGTCTTCCTTTAAATGACCTAGCCACTCATCATTTCAGGGGGACCCCTGACAAGGGACTGTGGATGTAGCCCAGTATTTTCATTCTGAGATGTGCTCCTCTACTGCCCTCTACTGTAAGTATCAATAATTTCTACAAGGCTGCCAGGTGTATAAGATGTTTTTTATTCATTGAAACGCAGAATACCCAGTAAAAGTTCTACATTGCAAAGAAAAGATGAAATTCAAAGGTAACCTAAAAAGACGAGGTTGCGATGTTTCATTATTGTAAATTAAACCCAAAAGTCAATACTTTAAGTCACCATTATTAAAACAGTGTTCCACAGACATGAAAAGCAGAGTTGGCTGTATTTGTAGTGGTGGGAGGAAATTACTCAGGATCTCAGGTTGGAACGTTTTGTGTTCACTCCGTGATAAGAAAATGAGTTACAGCAAGAAGTGTGGTAAAGCCCATAAACTTTGACTTCTGCTCCAATCTTCTCCTCTTCAATGTCTCCTTTCTATACTGAGAAGAGAAAAGAAGTTCGTTTATTTTCCTCTCTTATCAAAATTAGGTTGGAACTGATGGTAAATTATTTGCCCTTGTTTGGAATTGGATCAATTTCACTTTAACAAAAGTTCATTCCAATTAAGGCTCTTAATGTCTCATTTCCTTCTTTCTGTTCTTCCTTTTTTTTTTTTTCACTTCAACAATTATGTATTGATCATGTGCTGTGTCCCAAGTACCTTGCTAAGAGCTGACACAAGACTGGTTCCTGTCTTCGTGGAACTTTATGAGGAGATATATGCATTTTACCAAAAAAAAATAAATGCAGGAATAAGTATTTGATAATGATTTTCCAGAACAACACTACCAGCAGAGCAAGTAGTATTTGTAGACGTCCCTAGTTGGAAGGGAGCTTGGTGCAGTCAAGGAACTGAAAGGTCAAGTGTGCTAAAGAATTGTGGTGCAAGACGCTGGAGAACGAGGCAAAAGCAGAAGACTCTGGATCTTTTAGGACATGTTATGGGTTTTGGCCTTTATCCCAGGAGGATTTGGAAACTATTAGGTCATTTTGGGCAGAGGAATGGCATGACCAGACCTGAGTTTAAGAGAGGTCACTATGCCACCTGCGTAAGGCAAGTGGGGATAAGACTGAATGCATATTTGGGGGGGGGGGGACATTGCCTAAGTCCTGTGAAGTATGATGGAGGCTTGAAATAAGGAAGAGGCTGTGAAGGACTTGGAGAGATTTTTAGACGGAACAGTGGAGAGGACTTGGTATGTAGTTGGATGAGCGTGTATAAAGGAGAGGCTGTGGAGATGGACTGTCAGGGAAGAGTAATTCTGAAGCAGAGAGGCATGTGGACTCATTATTAGGTGTCCTACGTTTTCTCTGTAATTCAAAACAGAACTGTGCCTTCTTTATCCCTCTCCCTTGCTCACACACGTGTACACGTAGAAACCCCAACATTCCAAGGGAATTTAAGGCACGTTTCAGCTTACCTGCTATAGAAGACACATCTTCCCATTACACATACATGGAAATGCTGAATATAGTTAAGCATATAAGTGTGAACATATATGTTTGTTTTGTGCATGTATGTATAGATGAATAGCATGTATTTATGTGTGTCCATGTGTATATATGTGTATACACACACAGATGCCGATTCAGCTGTTGCTAATAGGGGTTCAGACGGTATGAATAAAAGATTAGGCAAAGTTGAAAATGAAGGAAAAAATAATTTTGAAGGTATAAAATTGTAAGAGAAAAATATCTTTCGAATATGGTTAAATAGCAGAAACATAAAATGGAAGAGAGAATTGCTGAGCTGCCATAAGAGAAAATAAAAGGTTTATCTTCTGGAGACATTTAACCAAAAAAGATCTGAATTCAGGAATACTTGAATTTCAAAGTGAGGTGCCCAAAAGAAAAGTTCTACAGATAATGGCTTTCATTGGGGGAGGGTAAATGACATCAATCACCCGTTCCATTATGTGGTCCAATAGTCAAAAACTTCTCAACATGAATGCAGAGCTCCCAGTACACTTTTTGGGATTTAAGTTTTTGTCTTAATGAGAAGAACTTCCTTCCATATAGAACTATCTGGCTCAGGATCTTCCTTCATGCATCAACAACTAGAAAACTGTACAAATTGTATGAAACAGAGCAGAACAGTGATGTCTGAGAGAAGAGAAACAAACAAGATGAAACTTATGATCATCTCAGCTGTCTTATTTTGAAGCAATTTGCAGACTACAGCATAGGTAAGGAAAAACCAAGTAAAACCAACTGTCTTACTCAGCTGAAAATACAGAAATAAAAATTTGAGGAGGCCAAGGTAGCTGGGATTTGTAGGGTGCCAGGGAACCATGCAATAAAATAGCTCCAGAAATCTTTGTAACAATATACCATACATTTTGAACTTACACCCACTTGAGACTATGGGAGCATAGTGGAAGATAATTGGTGAGGGAGAAAGGAGAGCCATCTTTGTATCTTGCAAAAAAAATCCCACATAATCTAGTCTGAGTTACTTCCTCCTCTGTGGAACTTTTGGGGGGTTATAGAACCCATTGGAAATTCGCTTGAAGCTATGGAATCTCTCCTCTGAAAATTGTACCATGCCTATATATGTGTTGCTTTCTCTGGAACCCCCCCCCCCGTATGTCAAGGGTTAACAATAATGACTCATTAATTTTAATACACATTTTTACAAACTTAACTTTCTTTAATGTGCTTATTGCAAAAATATTAAGATAATAAAAAGCAAAAGAGTATGAAATAAAAAGTAGTATTTCCCTCAGCCTGTTGCCTCCTATGTCCTCTATCCCTTTTTCTCAGAGGTCACTTTTAACAATCATCTTTCTGAAAATTTCCAAATACATTAATAAATATAAGCAGGCATATCCTACCACTTGCATTTATACAATTTACTTTGTCATGGACACTTGTTCACATGAGGGCATATTGATTTAGTTTATTCTTTTTAAAATAATTCCTGGTGTGATGTACAATACATTTCCATTTTCTTTACTATCTATTAAATCATTTAACAGGTATTTATTGAACCTCTACTATGGGTGAGGTATCCTGTTTGGCTGGAGAAATAGCAATGAACAAAACAGATATGCCCCCTGTTCTTAGGGAACTGGAACTCTAGTAGGGGGAGACAAATCATAAGTAAACAACTAAGTTAAATAACTACAGATTGTGAGTATTCCTATGCAGGAAAACAAACAATCTAGGTGAGATAGAGAATAACCAGAGGAAGGAAGTCAGTTTTGGGATGAGGTTTGGCCAATAGGCCACTGGCAAAGGAGCATTCCAGGCTTTTGCAATCAATTTCACTATGAACATTCAATAGGCCTCATCCGTTGCTTGGTTTTCTTTACCAGCAGCTGTGCTAGAATGGGAGGATTTAGCGGTAAACAACTAAAATTTGGTCCTTGTTCTCTTGGAACCTACATTTTAGGGTAATTAAATATAAAAGACCACAGTGCAATGACTGGAACATAATAATTGCTAAATAAATATACGTTTGTATTATTATTATTTTTAAATTATTTGCAAGGTGGCAAGTAAGTTGATCTCACTGTTCAAATCTGCTTCTCTGAATGCAGACTTGTCTTTCACAAGTTTGTCATTTGAGTATATTCTGTAATTTGCCTGTGTAGATCCTTGGTCATCATTTTACTGGTTTACTTGCCTTTTACTGATGTTTCCATAGTTACATCTGGAAATATTGCCCCTCCACCTCCTGTTTGTCCTTTGTTTCACTAATGGCATCTTTAAACATGTGGACTTCTGAAATTTGTTGTAGCTAAAGACCAATTTTTTTCTTAATGACTTTGGGAGAAACTTGATGTATGCACACAAAACACTATGCAAGGATGTGTGCTGCAAATTGAAACAGTGATGTCAGCAAGGCATAAGTGGGGTGCCATTTCCGTGGAGAGAGGGACATTTGTTGCTCTATGTGCTAGGCACTGGGTCAGGTTTATCTATCACCAAGTCTGTGACCCTACAAACTCCTTCCAATGTAGGCAAGGTTGTTGCTGTTTTATACCTGGAAACAAGAGGTAGAGTTCCAACGTCCCACAGCTAGTAGGTGGCATGGTTGGAACGGCCTGCTGCACCTCCATTCCAACCATTTCAAAGGAATGGTACTCAGGTCCTTGAGAGGGACACTTCTGAGTCCTTAGAGACGTTCACAATTGTAAGCCCTTGGGGAGATCAGGAACCTATGATCAGGGGTTGGCTAAAGAGTAACTTCTCCTGGCAACCCTGAGCTTTCTCAGGCAGGCATTTCAATGCGTGTGTGTGCGCATCTGGGGTCACCCTAGGAACAGACCTGCTGCTGCTAGAAGCCAAGCTGGAGTCTGGTCTCTTTGGGCCAGGGATTTGCAGGAGTTGTTAGGCGCAGTTCTCACCAGTTCTTGGCACCACGATTTACAAGCCACATGGAATACGGAGGATGGGAACCAGGATGGTCGAATCATACAAGAACCTTGCGAGAACTGAGTGTAGCCTACAAAGGGTACAGCCGAGGGAGTAGACGCTTCTTCGGGTATAGTTAAGATGGTTGTGAAGGACCAGGGATTCGCTCCAACCGGTGAGGGTCCTGGGGGTGGGGGAGGGGCAGTGGCGGGTTTAGGGCGAGTTTTGCCTCAAGTGCAAGAACTGTTCTGGGGAGCGGGCATGCTGAGTCTTGTAAAAGGCTGCCTGGCAACCAAAATGAGCTCTACCTTGGAGCGAATGGAGCTGCAAGTAGATAGATGGCTTCAAGTTTCTCCCAACTAACATTTCCTATGATTGTTTCCACCGAGCGAAGGAGAGGAATACTTGAACGAAGGCTCATTAAGGATACACGCGGCAAGAGGGCGATCAGAGAGCAAGAGGACCCAGGACAAGGGGCTGGGAAGACGAGGGGCGGCCGGGGATTCGCGGCTGGACCCCCCTGGGTCGAAGCGCCAAGCAAGGGGGCGGGGCGGAGCTGTTAGAGCTCGTTGCGGGCACGCGCAGTTCGCGTTGGGGCGCGCGGCTCGCACGCGCCGCGGGCTCGCGGAAGGGGGCGGGGCCGCCTCGCGCGCCTGCTACTTAAACGCGCGAGCGCCGTCCGCGCGCCGCGCCAGGCGTTTCAGCCGAGCGCCGAGCGGTCGATGCCCTCGCTGCCGCAGCCCGCGCTCCGCCGCTGGTGGCTCCACCCGCCATTATGTAAGTGCGACCGCAGCCCGGCGCGTCGTCCGCGTCCTCGGCGCGCGCGGGCCCGGGGACGGGGCGGGGAGCGCGGGGAGGGGGTGTCCGCCCCTCGTGCCTCCAGTGCCCGGATGGGGACGGACGCGCGGGGAGAGGTC